AGTCGAAACCTGTTATATATTTTACATATATATATTTACATTTGAAAATACGAGTGAGCATACAATGTATAAATTTGTTTGTTTTGAAAAAAATTTTCAAATTTTTTCGACTCCAAGAATTGATCCCTTAAACTTCGGATTGGTAGTCAGGGACCATATCCATTATGCTACGCATCACGCACATCTGATTTTTATTTTTATCACCTATGGATACGAACCAAGAAACTTCTGGATTAGAAAATTGATCGATAGTTCGGCGTTTTTTATATAATATGTAATTCAGCCCATCAATTGCAAATAAAATAGTTATGATTATTTTTAAGTGGTCGAATGAAGTTGAAATCGTATTTTAAAGTGTGTTTTGCTTGAATCTCATAGCGGTTTAAGATGCAAAAAAAAATACTATCGTGTGGGGCAAAAAATGTTCTATTAATAAGCACTTTTCTTAGTGTTTCGATAAGCGCAAAGTATCAAGAAAAAAAATGAAAAATGCATTTTGGCAGTACCTGTGAGAGTACGTGAGATAGAAAGAGCCATTTATCGTCTGCTGTTCCAATCTCTCTTTCTCACTATTGATCTCATACAGATATAACTATAGGCCTTTTTTATTGCTTTTGTCAATATCTTGCGCTGGTAGAAAACAAAAAATTAATTTTAATATTTCAATATTGTTTTTATCATTTTGAAAAAAATGCTTCTAGGTGAACAGAATTATTTAAAAAAATGAAAATTATATTATGATCCAAAGTTTTTCCCAGAATTTTGTTCACTTAAACTACTGCATGTTAACTCGTTTCTATTAAAGAGCTGACAAAGCTGGCGCACGTGCACAATTATGCACAGGTATCCGAAAAGAGACAGAGAGGAGAGAGTCAGAGGAAGTAATACACATTAACGTAATGTTGAAAATATGTATGTACCTATATGTAAGTGGGTTGTTCAGATACTATTTGCCGTGTATTGTTGTTCTTTTTTGTTACCTTTTTTTTGCATTCGTCAATACAAAAAATTTTAACATAAATTTTTATTTATTTTTTCTTAACATATAATATTCACTGATAAAAATACATATTCGTAAATAAACTGTCTTTTCAAAGTAAAAGTATGAAATTAAAATAATTTAGGGTAAGAAAAACATATACTCTTTCATCATAGACAATTGAATTTTACCCATATCAGTAACGTACTCTTTGATGTTTCACATCTGTCGGAGGTCCTGAGACCCACACCTGGTTCTTTATTTATTTTTTTTATAACCAAAATAATACGATAAGGCTTATACTATAAGCTGCCACTTTTATAAAACTATCGCGTATGTTTTATCTTTGTAACGCATTACCACTTCATGTATGTCAGACTTTCTAGTCATAGTATTTTTAATTTTTATTATGTTCTCTAAATCTACGATATTTTTGTTTCATTGTTCGACGACAGTTATAATAGAATCAAAATTTATTATTAATGAATTTTCGTAATTTAATTTAATACCCATAACTTTGCATACATTATGAATACCCCAGTAGCTGTACCCATAAGGTACGCATAAAATTTAAGACCTCCTGAAACAAAGATCTATATATACGATCCTTCACCATACATCTCTAATTCATCTATTAACTGTCCTAATAACGAGCCAGTAGGTGGTGGATATTCACTAACATTTTTATTATTTATTGTAAATATTACTTAGTCTGTATTACAAAACAAAACTCTTCTATCGAGTTTTTTCAGGTATAAGTATAGTTTTAAACGTGCTTGAGCTGTCGTATATGCAGCTACAGCAACGTTCATACACGGAGAAGAAAGTGCCACTTCCTCTTTATATCGCCAAGTTAAAAAAATAACACTATCATTCGCTGGTAGACAATTTTCTACATACTTTTTACTTTCACATAATGCCTTCAGCATTTCTTTATAATCATTGACTATACTAGTTAGAGGTGAATTTTCCCTTTGACTGAATTTTTAAATTTTTTTTTTATGTTGCTGAAGTCTAACTTAATACCTTCTTTATGTTCATACATATTAATGTATTCTTTTTAATCTTTTTCCGTCTTAATCGTACTGGGACTTCCACCCGCTTAATTTTAAAAAAAGGGTTTTTATNACACCTTGAGAGCGAAGGATCTATGTGGTAGGCAATTTCATTGCGAGAAGGTCACCCATCCCTTCTTTTATGTTGCTGAAGTCTAACTTAATACCTTCTTTATGTTCATACATATTAATGTATTCTTTTTAATCTTTTTCCGTCTTAATCGTACTGGGACTTCCACCCGCTTAATTTTAAAAAAAGGGTTTTTATACTCTGTAAATAAACCACAATTTCAAAAATAGGATCGTATTTAGCAACTTCATATTGCCAAATGACATCAATCTTTGATAATTTATACTCTAGTTCTGGAGCTTTCTTTATTTTGACAAATACTCATGTACCTGATAAAGCCCTATCTGATACTAAATCGTGAAATCATTCTTTCTGAAAGAATGTTACTATACACATGCAGCACAATACAAAAAGTAAACGACTACTTATTTTTGTTTAAAGTATAGGGCAAAATAAAGATCGCGGTTAAAAAATTGTGCATTTTACTAAACCCTTGACTTTTTCTTTGAAATTTTCAAAGGTTTTTCCTGATAATTCTGAAGTTATTACCGGTATAAATTTTTGGATGTCTAAGTGGAAATATTTCTATCTGATAAATATAAGGATATAGTAAGCAGTCGTCCAAATATTTCATCTTTCCATTATCTTTCACTTTCTAATGTGTAACAATATTCTCCGTACGACTGCCGTAAAAAGCATCTTGAGGGTTCAAAGTAGAGATTTCCGCAATGAGGTGATTTTTTATGTGGTCTAAATACTCGTTTTTTTTTTTAATTCGTCATGCTCCCACGTCTTAATAATTTCGTAGCCGTACTCTATTATTATAAATCTTGTTTTTATAGTATTTTGGTACTGTTTCGTTAAAGTTTTGTTATTATTCAATTTTTTATATCAATCGTTACAGAAATAGCGGATACAACTATGAAAACAACACACATGAAACTGAAACACGGTTCCTTTCAAATTTTTTTCTTCTCAACGTGTTAAATAACTATCAAGGAGAGGGCCTTCTTTTAAACAAAATTCCCACGATCTACCTGCATGTGTGATCTCTAAATTCCTTACTTTT